CTAGGATTTAAATCGCTGATGCTCACTCGCCAAAGAGATTATTTTATTAATATAATCACTCAAAATCTGTTGGGTTTCGTATCACCGATGCTTACTCGCTAAAAAATTGTTGTAATGATAAATCCACCAATAAATTGTTGAGTTTCTATTTACCGATGCTTACTTGCCTAAGGCATTATTTTATTTATAAATCCACGAAAAATCTCTTAGGATTCTAATCGCCGATGGTTACTCGTCAAAGAGATTATTTTATTAATAAAATCACCCAAAATCTGTTGGGTTTCCATCACTGATGCTTACTCGCCTGAAGGCAGATATTACTGACAAATCTACTGAAAATCTGTTGGGTTCCAATAATCGCACGTGCTTACTCGCCCAAGAGATTATTTTTTTAATAAATCCAGTAAAAAATAGTTGGTATTCTATTCACCAATGCTTATTTGCTTAAAAAATTATTTAAATAATAAATCCACTAATAAATTGTTGAGTTTCTATTTACCGATGCTTACTTGCCTAAGGCATTATTATGCAGTGAATGTGCTGAGCAGGCATCAAATAAGTCCGACTAACGAAGACTGGAATTTGGTTGAAAGAGTATTTTGGTATCTGGCAGGGACAAAATCTTATGTTCTAAGATATTGTGGAAGGCAGCAAGGGCTGGAAGCATTCTCCGATGCCAGTTTTGGCGACTGTAAAGGGTCGCTAACCACAAGTGGTTACGTGATTAAAATCTTTGGGGACTCAGTAGCATGGAGAACTCACAAACGAACGTATGCGTCTTTGTCAACAGGTCAGGCAGAGTATGTGTCACTGAGTGAAGCATGTAGAGAACTGATGGCAGTTGATAATTCGATTAAAATCATACTGAATAATACTTTGTGTCCAGCAGATCTATGGTGCGACAATAAGGTGGCTGAGCAAAATGCTAAAATTATAGGTAGTGGTAAATTAAGACATATGACAGAAATTCATGAGCATTATGTTAAAGAATATGTAAATTATGGTAGAGTAAACGTCAGATGGCTAAACACTAAAGAACAGATGGCCGATATATTCACAAAACCTCTACCGATAGAGCTCCATGAAAAATTTGCTATCAGAAACGCGAACAGCTTTTGTGACTCTGACTGGTAACTAATAAGTTGTCTCTGTTTCAGATAGGCGATAAAGGAGCCATGGACCGACTCATGGACTACTTGGGTGCATTCCCAGAGCCGTGGAGCCGAGTCAAGAACACACATTTATTTATCTATTTATCTATTTTAAATTATAATTTTTGTCTAATATACTTAGCTATCTTAAGTC